TGATCCTCACTGTGCCTGGTTGGAGACACTACATGATATGGCTGCCAACCGATGTCAGTGGCGTTCCTGTTGTCAGTTTCTATCCAGATTAGTGAAGTGAATGTCTGGAGGTGTATGCACCTCGGAATGATTGTGTTAAGCTAGCACTAAGTCCCTCCCCCATCCACCTTTATTGTTTACAATAAGATGCTGTCGATGATGATGATGATGAAATGAAACGTAATGATCATCCAGATTCCGTTAACGCCACATTTGCATATGTTTTACGTACATCCTTAATAGCCAATTTCGGCATATGGACGACCGTGGACACTTCAAAGACTGGGAAGGTGTCCGATCACTTTCGAGAGGCCATATTTACGATGGAGTAAGTCCCCGTTCCATGTATTACTTTTATCCTGTAAAAAATCGTATTAGTGTTCACCACACAAGTGGTCTCTCAACTAATCAAGTCAATAACTATAGGAGAAACAAGCTTGAGGAATAGTTAGTGCAACACTCATGGTATTCCATTGTTGAGAGAGGCATACTGGTTACTTAAACAACATTTTTGTTTCCGTTATCGCTCATGTAAGCCGTTTTGATGTGCCCGCTTTAGCTCCGCAGTATACACGAACAACCTGTGTTGGATTCACCGTATTCCTCCTTTCCTCGCATTTTTCCTCCGGTGTTGGTGGTGGTTCGTTGCGCCACTATTAGACCCTGTTGTGGATCTACAATAGGTATGATCAGTCGTATGGTGCTTAATCTGATTTCTTCCAAAGTGTGCACTGTAACTATTGGAAATTGGCAGGATGTGATACAGGTCCTTCAACTCAGTTTATCGGCGAGTGGAAATCTACCCCTCCTAAAAGTCTATTCAAGTCCAGCCATCCGTCTTTTTCTGAGCAATTTATATGGACTTCGAAACCACGACGGCTATCAATACATCGCTCTGTGGTAACAGCCAACAGAAATTTTTGGAAATTCATTACTTCTTCATATGGCTCATCTCTATGACAACTGGGAAATGGTATTTGGAGCAACAACTTACGGTTAGCACGCCCTAACAATCCATAATGCTGAACTTTCGTTTGCAACGAGCCCTTCCGCAAACTGGCATGCATGGATGGAGTCGCCGCAAGATATGGCTGCTAATCGCTGTCAATGGCATTCTTGTTGTCAGTTTCTGTCCAGAATTTGTAGAGACCTAGGCACCCTAGAATGATTGTTGTAGGTTAGCGCTAAGTTCTTGCCTCATATTTTATTATTTTTTTCACAATAGAGCTTTCAACTAAATTATGGTTGTACGGCAACGAAGCACCTTTATTTGTACACTGCTGGCGTTTTCTCGATGATGTTAATGACGGGTCATGGCTCGAACGAAATCGGATATTCCATTTATCGAAACGTCCAGTCAAAAGCTTCGGCCAGGTCTAACACAATGCAATTATCATGGAGGGAATAGGTACAATCCGAATCGTTAATTTTTTGCACGATTAAGATCAATCGGGTTTCGAGTTGACACGGTTGACTATTTCCGCCGAATTTTAATGCTCATCAATTTCTGCACGTACTTGAAGGCGTAAAACGAAATATGTTTCCCATTTGAGCGCTGCGATCCTGGGAAAATGTAAATGCCTGCGCGTTTGTCGATTTGTCCCAGCGTTTTTGTAACCAGTTCGCGCTACATTTAGCAGCGGCTTTTCAAACCTCCATCCGTTAGCGTGACAAAATTGAAACAAACGTGCGTATTTACATTCACTAGTATCACTTTGGTAGTTTCACACCAGATATTAGTTGGTTCTACAAGTGCTACTCTTTGATGCTCTGTTCTCCAGGGTTGTCTCGAACAACTCATCAGTTTGACGCACTGGAACGCGCAGCATATCCTCTATTTCGGTGATCACGTTTATTCAGATTTGGCGGTAAGCATTTTTCAGCCAATATGCATCTTTTTCTCCATTTTGCTACCCTGGTTTTGTTGATTTGAATATTGAAACCTCAATATATACTGTACTACTTCGCAAACGAGAGAAAAGAATCGGAGACAATCAAGATCACATGTTTACAGCCATCTCAGAGCAGATATGTATGATCTCGGGGGCGAGATGGCTCAGGTGGTTAGAGCGTGAATTTACTTATCGCAAGGTCCGTGTTTCGAACCCGACCTCTGACTCTCGACTTCTCCTGCCTAGGCTTGGGCAACCTAGCAGCATCCCAGCCCTCGTACTTCCTTCGGGTGGCATGGCAGCTAGGCACCGGAGGGGTGTTACAGCTGAACGATATGTATGATCTCGACTCACGGATGCTGTGACCAAGTTAACCCGCGTAAATTTACTTGAAATTTTCAAACAGTTACAGCTACCTTGACCGTCAGTGCTCCAAAAGCTGCTCAGACTGAGCGCTTTTCTTCCGGTGAGTTACTGGACTGATACACCCTCAAACTTAATGTGAATTTACACCAGCTCAGTGCCTTAAATCCTCCGGAAGTTGGTTACCGCTATATTTTGAATTCGCTTTACGGCAGTTCAGCTTTTCTATGCCTGATCGGTGGTTTTGAGGAACCAACTTGAAAATCTGACTCTTTGGTGGACATCCGCTAACTGACCCTAGTAAACGTTCATTCTATCCGTCGACCTTACTGTATGGCAAGTTTCATATCCACTTTGCTCATATCATCCATCTGTCTACCTTTTCGGCTGCGGGTACAGGTGAAAAGAAGAAGGCCTTCGCTGCGGAGTTATTTATTAGAAAACGTCAACTGAACAGACTATTGGACAGGAGAGCAAACCTCTCATGTGCATCTTGTTTACAAAAACTGAATATCCATCTTCCCCTTCAACGCGTCTTCCTGAACTTTCCTGCATATTCATTGACCGTTACTCAATGGCAAGCAAATACAGCTCCACAAATTCCATAACAGACCTCACTTTTCAAGGGGAAGCGGATTTACGAGAAAACGTACTACTCGCATGCCCCTTCAGTAGTATCCACCGTTACACAGGTAGTGCTCGTCCTTTAGTCAAACAAAGCCATTTCGTTGGTAATCCTTGTCTAGTGATTTGTGCTCCTTGTTCTCCAGTTTCGATTGACGAATCAGTTATCGATCTTGTATTCTACTCCCTTCTGTTTCCTCACTAGGATGTATCGAATCTCCAGGGTTGGACGACGGCCGCCGTAATTCCTGAACTGGAACACGAGATAATGGTTAACAACACCTTGGAGTTCCGACGCTGTTCGACAAAACTACGCCACTTAGAAGAATTGATCAACAGCTACCAAGTAAGTCTGTTTTCTGCCTAAAGTGTAGAACCCTAAACACAGACTTCACTGTGACCTGAGGAACGCATTTATTTTCTAACGAGTGTTATTTCTTGTTAGTAGTTCATGCGGCGCGATCTTCTGTGTTCATGAAATAATCTATCTTCTTGTGGAGAAGGTATTCGGAACTCACCCTTTTGCTGGGGATTTTTTATCCTGATTAGTAATAAAGCGATCCTCAAGTCATCATCATCACCATCAACATCTTGATATCAGTGTTCAACAATGATGCTGCGCTGCCGTACAACCACGATTTATTTGAAGGCCTTTTTGTGAAGAACAGAATAAAGGTGGACGGTGTGATGGACGTAGTCCTAGCTCACTACAATAATTCCGAGGTGCTTACACCTCCAGACACTCATTCAGGCAGTCGGGATGGAAACTGACAACGAGAATGCAGCCATATCTTGCAGGCGCAGGGGAGATCACGCGGTCCCGCCCCGTTATTTGCAGCGTGTAAGGTGACCCGGCTGATGGTACCACGTGACGGCCGATGTAGCATGAGTTTATTGTATCAGAGACCAGTGTATCTGACTCAACTGGCTCATTATTCCGATTCGCCAGCATGAATTGTCCTTTTCCGTCGACAATGACCCGCACTGTTGTAGAGACGACTATCGTTTGTTTATGGAGAAACCTGGAAGATCCGACTTTTTGCCCTGATTCATCCCCAGTCGCCTCTTCTGTAGCAGTAATCTCACTGTTCTCGTCTTACTATGTGTCATCAATCGTAAATCGTGTACTGGTCGTACACAATCGATCAGAATGAGTAGACTGTGGGCTAGGTGGGCACGACTTAAATTAGTCTCACGACTATCTGAGTCGTGTGGGCACTTTGGATTTTCGCGAATATACACTCATTTGCAAACTAATTTGTTCTCGAATATCGTAGCGACTGAAACATGAAGTGGCCTGGTGCAGCACATTCAGTTGCCTGGAAACATCACAAACGAGAGATTTAGCTGGGTTCCAGGTGAGTCTCTCGAAAGAACCAAATTAGTTTGCAAATGAGTGTATATTCGCTAATTTCGTGCAATTTGGTTTCAAGTAAAACATAAGGTTGACTGAAACCCGGGGACTGCGCCTACCTGATGAGTCCCAAGAAGGGCGAAACCGGTCGTGGGCTGTCGATGGATTTTCAGCAACCTTATGAGTAGTACACTACAAAGATATACTTTGGATTTTCATTTGTGTTGACACTAAAGCCTACAGTTTTGGCATTCTGATGGGTTTAGAACTTCTCCTTGCTGTTCGCTCTCCGTTCTTATCATCTCGGGTTTACACTGGATACAAGGCGTCTAGTCGGCCTCGGAACAATTCGTCCGTGGTGTTGTCTTGTGCACCAGGGTCCATCGTGCTGTTCGATTCTGTCAGGCAAGTCTGGAAACAGATGTCGGCCCACCGTTTGTATGTGTAGCGCAAAGTGACGACCAAATATTACGTGAAAATCACTGATCTCGTTAATTTAGCATCAAGATTGAGACGACGGTGTGGTAAAAACTCATTTTTCCCACTTGTTTTTGGTGTTTGAACGAAAAAAGGTTGATTGTAAAGTGTTTGATGCAGGTGTTGTCCCAAATGGTTTAGCCGCATGGCGTTTTTCCGACACAAAAGTGGAATCTTCAGTCATAAAACATCGTCGATTATGTCCTCGGTTAATGAGAATTTCCCCTCCATTCATCTGCCGTGGCAAAGGTACACTCTCTTTATCATCGCTGAACATTATCTTCTATTCGTATGAACTTTTGCCGGTTCGATCCTGTATTTCTCCTGCATTCACGCTCCCTCATATTGAAGTGCTTTTCAGGAGCGGAACAATCGCTGGATACACCGGATACTCTAATGCAGATTAAGGGGCCTGTTTCAGTGTCTCAGTGCTCGTTATTGGGTCACTCATGGGCCATAGCAACATTCGCTTCATGTTACTATACAGGACAGGCGGGGTACCTGGCGCTCAGAAAAAAATAGCCGGGAAAATTTTCCCCTTTCCATCAAACCAATCTCGTTGTGCTTGATCCGTTGCTTATTTCAGAATTCGAATGCGGGCAGTTGACCTGTCTATTCAATAACAATCATGACAATGCACATGCCGCCCTTCATCTGAATTAAATGAACTCTTCATTATGCAGTACTCACAATCGACAACACTTCATCTGTGGTCTTGAGGTATTTCTAGTAGGATTGTGTATGTCCAGCTAAGGGAAGGTTGTCAGTAACATCCAGGAAGTGATCCTTCAGTATTAAGCACAATGTCCTAGGAGTTCTCCCCCATGCGAACTCAAAGTTGACCATAATTCCAGTGAACGGCTGTCTTGAATGATATGTGTAGAAAACATCGTTGTTCAGAATTAAATGGAAGCAAATGAAATCAGCGGTAGTCATCGGCCTTAATAATGTTTCGTACACCACATTCACTTATGAGTTTGCTCTGAAGCGCTTCTGATAGTTTGCAACTAGGTCCTCTTCCCTTTCGGCCTTAAATCGTTCAGCTGTAGCACCCTTTCGGTGCCTAACTGCCATGCCACCCGAAGGAAGCATGAGGGATGGGATACTGCCAGGTTGCTCAAGTCTAGACAGGGAAAGTCGAGTGGCGGAAGTCGGGTTCGAACCACGGACCTTCCGGTCAGTAAACTCGCGCTCTAACCACTTGGGCCATCTCGCCCCTCTTTCGGCCTTGTTATCCTGTGAACAATGAGGATTTTTTCAATGCCTTTCCGGCATCGAAATGTTAATTTTATGGTTGGTGATGTTGATTTCCCTACCCTGGGTCTCTAGGAGGCTTGAATGAAGGTGCAACAAAGCATGGGGTAACTCTTCGTCGTAGAATGTGAAGGTATTTTGTTGCCGATGAGACGATTGTGCCAAACAAACGAAAATGTACGCAGTGCAACACAACTGTTGTGTCAAAAAGCTCAGATAACCGAAAACGTATGGTAATTAGAATGCTGTGCTACATTTTTCTGAGGCGACAATGTTTCCAAGCTTTCCCCAGCAGTCGGCGTTCGAAACTTGTTAAAACTTGGATCATGAATTTGCTCGCCATCATATAGGACATTCTTGATCTGGTACTGATACTCAAAGTGCTTTCGCTTATGCGTTTCCAACGGATTTAGCTAGGGTCGATTCAAATGAGCTATCGGATTTGAAGACAGCCTTGTCTGAAATGACCGAAATTCCTTAGCCGATTGATTATTTTATTTATGCAGCAAGCTGTCTTATACATGTGATCGAGCGACGCTGTTGACGCTTTCCATAGACTGTTGGGAATGTCGAAACACTATCCATTGGCCTTTGGTTTGTGTACAAGGTCTAAGTTGTACTTACTCACGAGTAGTGTAGAGTTTGAACTGTCTCCATCAATTTCAAGAAACGCTTCTTAAACGAACGGCTAGTAATACCTTCTAACACAAAGGTTACCAAGTAAGCGGATTCCGTGAGCAGAAAAATGTTTGACCCACGCAGTCCTCGTGCTACACACCTGCTTACGTTTTGATTTTTCGTTAGTTTTAATGCTCCCGCTCTACTCTTATGATCTAGCAACATGAAAGCAATATATTTGCGCAATAATCGAATTCGAGCCAGGCCGATATGCACGACTTTTCTGTATTGTTTCCCTTAGGTGATCGAGGTAGCTTCAGTAATTATCGTGCATTTTCATCCTAGTCACTTGTAGTTCTGACCGCAGCACGTCATGGATAATCTTCTGGAGGTGTGCTTGTATGCATGTTGCACTAATACCACGAGTGTGACTATCAAGTCCAACAGAGCTGAAGCCTGACCCTATCTACCTACCTGAAATCTTCTGAAATGAGGCTTTATGGTGAATCGGGTCAACCAGTGCTGCCTCGATTGAGTCACGAAAATCCGATTCGATGAAGCAGTTAATCTCTCCGCTATATTATTAGCCCACCAGAGGCATCCAGGGTCTGGTCCATGACTCTTCTCCTCTAAGGACGCCGAGGATGGACTGCGACACAGCGATTACGTGCATCTTTTCCTCTTCAGGTCGCACCAAATGGCCTATCCGTTCCTCGTTTGAGTTGCGTAGCCTTTTTGCGAGGGGCTGTCCGGACTTTAGTGCTTCTCCAGCGTTTCGAAGACTCATATTTGCCGTGTGTGACTGCACAAAAGGAATGTCGTTAGAGTGTATGCCTGGGTTACCGACTACTCTAGTTCCTCTCCCTCGCCTAATTCTACTCACCCGCAAGTGTCATGTATGCTGAAGTTTTGTACGATAGCTCCCCAGTCTCTTATGGTCACTGGGCCGTTGGAAAACTCATCCTGTGTGGACCTAGGTTGGACTGTCCTTAATCCTATGGGCCTGGTCTCACTGCGAGACTTGGCGGACTGCTGTCTACTCCATTCGTCAAGATATAACGCCATCTGGCCTTCAATGGTTCGGTCGATGAACCCAACCGCTGCTGCAGAGAGAAATCGGCTTGTCTAGGGTTCGTGCTACCCTCTCACTTCCCTAACCTGATAAAATTGTATGATTGCAGCTGTCCCGTTGTATTGGTCACGCGGAATAGACGGACAATGGGATAGCGAATTTTGCATGCCTTCTGACAACCTTTCCGCACAAAGACCTCCCGGATTTCATACTGTGATTCATCCCTGTGTTACGATTTTGCTCATCATCCCCATCTAACCTAAGTGGTCAGCGGTTCGTACCTCGTCTGCAATTTTCCTTGTGCACCTTCTACTTTACTTGTTACATCAGCGCAGAAGGTCATCGTCATCATCATCAATGACAGCAACTCCAGTGTTGGCACTGCGCAGAAGGTATGCAGCTTAGACAGGCCACATAGTTCCGGTGTTATATGTGTACTCCCCCGTGCTTATTACCTAAATGGGCTTCTCCCTGTTTGTTCTCTAATACACGTATACTGTCTGTAACTGCCTCCAATAAGGAGTGACACACTTTCTCTGCCATCTTGTCAGACGAAATAGGATTTCACTGTCGGCTTAGCGGTAGGTCATCAATATCACATACATCACCACCTAATGGATGGAACGTTTGTGAAATGTGCAGTGAAAGAGTTAACCTTCCTTCGTGAGTTTTAGCCTGGTTGCGCCAAAATTAGCATTTATGGTTTCATGTCGTTTCCTGTGGCTCTTTGGTTCCGTGGTTGGCGGTAATTTGGTAGTTACTGCCGATAAGACTATCTATAATACGTTGTTCGCATATGTCCAGTCGATCATAGGCAACATACAGTGCGAAAACGTTGGACTATTCGACTACAAACCAAATGGGACAGATATCACACGTAGGATACCTCAGTTTTTCACATTCCAGTGGTAATTAGGGTAGATTGCCTCTACGGCGCTCATGGGTCCTCCCATAGACCATCAGTGGATTTCTTTTAGAGAAGTGTCAATAATCCGTCGAGTCTGTGACGAATGTCGAGAACTAGGCGGTATGGTATATTCTGCACAGTTTCCCCTAGAAAGTCAACAATAGGGTGCATTGCGAATGAATTTCACCCCTGTGTTATGCATCAGATCCAAAGCACACGTCTTGCACTGTTTGGACTTGAGAGAGGCGGGGCCTGTGGCAATAATAGGTTGTGAGTCCCTGGCGGATAGTGATTCCTAAATCCCCTTTGTTCAATTCACTCTTCAAATAGTCCTAAATTATCGAGTTCGTTCTCACTTCAGTCCTACATTCCGTTCTCTCGTGTCCGTTTTTTTATGAAACATATCTAGTCGGTGTCACGGCAGGCACTTCTCGATAAGTCTTTGAATACGCAGTTTAGTTCTTTCAGAAGACTGGGTGTACAAGTGCTTGTATCGGAACTTCACTTCTTCCTTACTGTAACTTCCTGTCCCTGCTAAACCTAATCGCAAGCCGTCAAAATAGGTCTACGTGGCACCAAGGAGACTATTTTTCGATGAGTGCTGTGTGTATTTCGAGGGCTGGCAGAGTCTCTCCTATTTCGTTTAACAGTGATGTCAGTAGCAGCCAAATTATTGTGAATTGGATGCATCCTATTTTCCAATTAAACTGATGTCCTACATACCACATAAACGTTGTTTTTTTCAAGTTTATGTTAATACGAGAGAATTGTACACCTTGATGCACCAGCGAAAGACGCCTAAAGACACTCAAGCTTGTATCTTATCCTGTGCATATCAGTTTCCTGGTCTTACTTCGGTTGACATCCTTGCGTTCCTGGT